GTAGTCATGTCCCTTTAAGAATAATAAATAGGCCCAGGGAAAATGAACAGACAGGCAACAAAGATGATCAAATACTTACAGAACACCTTTAATGCACAAGGCTTAAGGAGGAATAAAGGTATGCTAAGCTAGAGTCTCCAATAAGCTTTTAGGAAGACTAGACTTGAAGATCGTTTAGGCAGACGATATAAGATGGTATTCAATTGAATGTTTAATTATATAGTATCATTAGGAACGCCATAAGCGTTCTGGAAATAAGATTAACAAAGGGTAGAATAGGGAAGATAGGCCTTAAGCCAATGCCTGAAAAACAGGTATGGCTTGATGAAGTTGAGGAGGCAGGAAAGGACTTCTACGTTTTTATAAGCAAAAGCACAAAAATAGACATGAATATATTGTATTCACATTGTGTTTTAACACAGTCACTTGATAATGTCAAGTTAACTGTGCCTCTACTGACCACTCTGGAAAACAGAAGTCCAACTAGTTTTGCCAAATATGAGTTTTAGAAAGATAGAAGGAAAGGGAAGCAGGCCTGGGCCGCATCAAAATGGGACTAGCGTCAGCAAACGCCAGCCAAAGAAATCGTTCAGGCTTTACCGTGCCTTGATCCCCGTGTGGACCCTGATGGGTCCCTCCCCCCCCCAGCAGATTCTGCAGGTCATACTTCTCCGTGCACTTAGTTGACTTACCTGCCTAGTACCAGGCAGGACTGTGCCCCCCGCTTCGTTTCTTCCACACAGACAAAGCTTACAGACACCTTCCTCACTTTAATCCTGCAACCAGGCCCTGGACTAGAGGCCACACATTGTAATCACCTGGGGAGCTTGCTATGGTCCCACCTACAGAGGGTCTGATTGAATTGGTCTGGGGTGTCACCTGGGCATTGGGAAGTTTATAAGCTCCTCAGGAGGTACTAATGAGCAGCCAAGTCCGAGAGCTACTGGTTTCCTGCCTGCCAAAGAAAACTCACACCAGTCCCACCCTACAGCCTGGCTCAGATGGAACAATTTGCGGCAAAATGTAGTAAAGAATTCTAATGAGCTTGATAATGGCAGAACTGAAATTAGATTCTAGGTTTCCTGATTCCCATATGCACCATTTTGCCTCATGGCCAAGATACTTACAGTTTTCATATCAACTTGATAGCCAGTGTGTGACGGGAAAAATAAGGAAGCCTCCAAAGATACCCATGAAGATTCCTTTATAACAGTCCTTATTATTGCAAGGGCCTTTCGTTTGTATCACTCACAGTGCTTTTCCGCTCTCAATGGCAGGCAATGAATGACACTTTTGCATGGAGTCTACTCCTCTGACTTCTGGTTATCAATTTCCAATGACTGGGGAAGAGGCTTACACTTGGGTCAGAAGTAAGCAAAGGGGATTGGAAGGTGTTCCCTTCTCTCAACCTTTTTAAAAATAAACCCAGAAGAATAAATGAATGTGTAAGGGGCTTTGAGGGTGAAGAAATGGGAAAGGTGGCATTCTTTTAGTGTAATGTTGCACGTGTCATCTGTGTAACTGCAAAAAGAAAGAGAGGATCGCTTTAAATGGGACTTAGATTTCCACTGCTTTCTGTCCATGTTTTGGTATGTGATTTAGATCTACGTAAAGCTTAAACATTATTCTCAAGGCTAGATACCCTCCGACTTGGCTCTCTTAGTCTCTTGAAAGTAACGGGATATATAGAACAGCTTTAGTTACACCAAACCATTAATGGAGGTGCTTGCTATGTTTTTATTAGGATAGTAGTAATAGTCTCACTTTCAAAATAACTTAATGCACCCACATGCTTGCTTCCATGATCAGATGCTCTTCTGTTTGAAAATACGAAGCAACAGGAAGAACTGGAGCGTCAGAGAGCTGGGTGGGCCCAAAAGTAGTTGATAAGCCTGAATCCAAGCAGCAGTAGCCCTGCCCTTGCCCCCACGAGAGGCGGCCTGATGCTGATGATGATGTTGATGTTGATGATGATAGCACCAGTCCCTTACTTAATCCTTTACCGTTTTAAACGTGCTTTCATGCATATGATTTTATTTTATCCTCACAGCAAACTTGCTGTGACTTTCCAGGCCTAGAGAGAGTTACAATGGCTTGCCCAAAATCACACATCTGGTGTGAAGGGGCTTCCATGACACAAAGCAAAATACTGTCTTCCCAGTCTTAGGCTGTTCATCACTTCTTTTACTTTGTAATGTATCACTACCACCTCGATGTAAAGTTAGAGGAGCTAGAGCTGACTTCTCTTAATCCTCAGCAGTGTTGTTACTTTTCCATTATTCTTTGGTTACCAGATTTTTATTTTTGACAAGGGGACATCAAAGAAGGCAAAAGCAAAGTATTTCGTTCCACTTCTCCCTTAAGAGTTTAAAGGCCAGCCAACAGACTTGCCAGGAAATGACTATTAGAATAAACCTGGAACCATAACCATCACCAAGGGATCCAGCCAATCAGGTGATGCTCTGAACAGGAAGAAGCTGGGCAGCTGCTGCAGCCTTTAAGATACGACTGCAGCCAGCCTGCAAATGCAGGTACCCTGGCGCACGAAATCCCTGCCCAGTGATGCCTTATGCGCATGACTTCCACCTGGCAATATGGCTGCCTCTATATGTCTTATTTCCCCCTGATATTATCAGTTTCTTGAGGGCAGAGCTGCATGTTGTTTTTGGCTTCCTCCTCCCCTCCAACAATTCTTCCTAATCCCTACACCACTTCCTAATATTTACATCATCACCACCATGTATCCCCTTAAACAGATTTCGCCTATACGAGTGTAAAACTGACAGGAAAGGGGAGAGCAGTGTCTGTGCTCTAATTTGTATCAGGCCCCACATGCCTAGGGATGGCCTCTTCTTAATCCCACAACATTCTTATAGAACACTTTGCTCATGGGAGAGAGGTAAATAACGTAAAAAAAGATGAGAGAACAAAGAATTTATTTCTGGTATGAATCTTTGACCTAAGAAATAGGATACTTTGGCACTTACCTAGTAGATAAATGGCCAGCCTTCCATGAAGGAAACCTTTGGTGGATGGTCCTTCCAGGGAACTCTCCCCACAGCAAGGTTTTGTAGTGGACATTCTTTGTAGAGCTAGAAATTCTGCTAATAAAAAAATTATTATATATTGTTTGAGAGTATGGCCTACTCAGCATTTCAGCCAGAAAAGGAGCACAGGGAAAAAGTGTTCTTTGAAGGGGAAGGTATCAGAAGTGGCATTTAAACCAGGGGTCAGCAAACATGGCCCATGGGGCAAGTCTTGCCTACTATGTATTTTTGTAAATAAAGTTTTATTGGAACACAGCCACATCCATTTGTTGACAGATTTTCTTTGACTGTTACAATGACAGAGGTGAATTGCAAAAGAGACCATATGGCCCACAATGTCTAAAATATTACTTACCTGGTCCTTTATAGAAAAAAAAATTCCAACCTCTAATCCAGACAGTCCAAAAGCTCACCAGGAAATTTTATTTTCACTCACTGAGGATCATGACTCAGTTAAAACTTTTGGTTTCAATCTGTTGATATATCCAGAGAGGGACAATTTTCTGTGGAAGAGCAGAACACACTAGGAGTGGCTGAGACCTAGATAGACACATAATCCATTGACATGGTGTTCACCTGCAGGACAGAAAAATAGAAGTATAGTTCAGGAGTGGCAAGCCTAAAGATCTACAGGGTCAGAGCAGGTCACAAAAATTGCAGTAGGCCAGGTGGGGAGGTGGGGACCAGAGAGCATGTGCCGACCTTTGGGGCAGTTCCAACCGGGTTGCCTTGCAGGAATGTTGGCCCAGTGTTACCAGAACCTCTGAATTCTCAGGGCCTCCAAAATATCTGTTTGTTTTTGTGAAATCTAATATTGAGATGTTGACAGCTGGTTAAAATTAAACATAAAAATAGGACATCCACACAAAAACCTGCCCGTGGATGTTTATAGCAGCTTTATTCATAACTGCCAAAATTTGGAAGCAACCAAGATGTCCTTCCGTGGTGAATGGATAAATAAACTGGTACATCCATACCAGAGAATATTATTCAGCGCTAAAAAGCAATAAGCCAACAAGCCACAAAAAGACATGGAAGAACCTTGAGTACATATTGCTAAGTGAAAGAAGCCAGTCTGAAAAGACTACATACTGTATGATTCCAACTAGATGACATTCTGAAAAAAGACAAAACTATAGAGATAGTAAAAAGGTCAGTAGTTACCAGGGACTAGGGGGCAGGGAGTGATGAACAGGCAGAGCACAGAGGATTTTTAGGTCAGTGAAACCATCTGTGTGACAATATAATGGTGGATACATGTCTATACGTTTGCCAAAACCCATAAAATGTACCACATCAGAGTGAACCCGAATGTAAACCATGGAGTTTGGCTGAAAATTATATGTCAACATAGGTTCATTGATTGTAACAACTGTGCCCCCCTAATCATGTTATCTATGAACAATGGGTGTCCAAAGGAAAAACTGAAAAATCATACCAGAGTGGATGCTAGGATGCAAAAATAACAGAATTCCACTCTACCAAGTTATCAGGGGCTTTTTTAAATTCCCTCCTTTGTGCCCTCCGTGTCAGGGTCAGGAGAGACGGTAAGATTCTAAACCACCAGACAAGTCATTACAAAGATGCTGTCATTTACAATGAAGTACAAACAACTGAGATTCTTCATAAATATTGCAGATTGGTGATGGTGGACTCCTCTGGTCAGTGGGACTGTCCATGTGAACAGATCAAAAATGAGAATGAACCTATAGAACTTGTGACAAGTATTAAGTGCTTCACATTTTAGTCAGACTTTAAGTGGGACATTAATATATAACAATTCTTTGGGCTAAAACCAAGTCTAGCAACTTCCATTAAGAAGATTAATTAGTTAATGTTTATAAAGTACTGTGCAGATCTGCCCTCTTAAAATGTTAAGTATTCTAAAAACTATTACATTGTAGCATTTTACTAAATGTAAAAGAGCTAATGTTCATCATTTCTTTGGTACAGGTTGGCAAAGGTTCTTTTGGCAATGATTACATAGAAAACTTAAAACAGAATGGTATTTCTACAGGTAAAATTTCATCTCTTTTAACGTTGGCTTTTATAACATGCTTCTACGATCTGATTACAAGAAAAGCTGAATGTAGAATAGAATTATTAGATCCTCCCCTGGTGGCCAGAGAATTTTTATGCTCAGCTTTGTCTAGCCTTGCTTGAATAGCCTATGGTTCATCTTCCACGTACATTCTTCCAGATGGGAATAAAACAATAGGAGGTTACAAACCTTCATCTCATGGAAACGTTTCAAAAGCAAATGACAAGAGAAAACAGGTGCTATATCCACAAAAGATATTTTAAGAAAAGTCATTGAGTATCATAGCTGGAAACAATCTTAGAAGCTACTGAGGCTGATACTGTCATTTCACAACAGAGAAAACCGAAGGCCAAAGAGGCTCTGAATTTGTCCAAGAGCACACAGCTCGTTGGCACCAGAGCCGGGACTAAAATGGAGGTTTTCACCAAAGGCTGCCTCATCAGCATTTCCACTTACACACCAGGCCATAATTCTTCATGAGAAGCAAGGCTTATGAGAATGAAAACAACCAAACAGGTTCATTTTATAGGTTTGACCTATAAAATCGGTCTTTCATCTCAAGTCTGCCTTTTCTTTCACTGAAGAAATATGGTGGTGTTGGAAAATGCATATGTACAATGCATGATACAACTATGAATAATTGGGGGAAACTGGAAGCGGGAGTGGCTTGCTGGGTTGTTACTAATGTAGAGAAAAGGTGCCACTAAGTGTAAAGACATATTTTCCTTATTGTATACGTGATGAGTATAAATTAGCACGAGCTACTTATTTCTTTTTTATCACTCCAGATGGTTAAAGGTTAAAAAGTTTTCTAAGGATTAGTGGTGCATTGAAATTGTTAAAGTAAATTATCCATGCCAGGCTGTATATATGTGATTGTAATTTGTTTTTTCTTTTAGAATTTGCATATCAGACTGCAGAGGCTGCTACAGGAACTGCTTCTATAATTGTTAATAAAGAAGGTATATGTTTTGCATATTGGAGCGTCAGTTCATAAAACAGTTCATTTCCAGAACTAGAGCAGAAACATCAATTTTTACCCTAATCCAATGGATATGTTACCATACCCAGCACTCCAAGGCCTAAAGTGTGCTCTTTCCAATCTAAATATAAAAGTTTCCCTTTGTTTATACTTCCCAAGTTGATCATTCAAATATAAAATTGTCCACCCAATACATATAGCATTTAGTTGTCTCAAAATAATATTTATCTCCTGTAACATCCCGTTACCCTTTATCTGAATGCAGAATTGATATTTGTCTCTAAGAGCAGTAAAGTATTCATCTGTCATTTCAGTTACACTAGGTAAATAAATGTAAATAGATAGGTGCAAAAGAAAGTTGATGAATCATATTTATAGACTATTTACGGAGCAAATGGCAGCAACTAATTACTTCTAACTTATCGTTAGTGTTCAATTTTGTCTGCTCTTTAAATAGCAATCAAATCTCAAAAGTCTATATATACAACTAAGTCTGTCACAAGGCCTTGCAATAATTGAAACATTTATCTTTGAAACAGTAACTGCCCTTCACCCTCAAGTAAAGTTGTCATAATTTCTGCCAATTATTGGAAGTGTAAAAAATACCTACATAAGATTTTTTAAATCAGAATTAATATTCAGAAGGACCAAGCATTTCATGGGGCCACTAGGACAGAACCTAGTGCATTATGGGCAGTCAGCGAGCATTGTGTTAAATTCAGATTTGTCACAACATGTCTTTAACTTGTTATGCAGTTTCACAAGATCACTTCTCTCAGAAGATACAGTATTTTTAGCTCTATGCTAGCGATCCCAAAGTTGCAATAACAACAACAAAAATGTATTCCACTTAAAGACAGTAGATACAAGTTTTTATTCTAACAATAGTCTGTGTTCATTATTTTAAGCTACCCCGTAATTATTGCTGCCAACAGCAGCTCATTCCCTGCCTTACACCTCTTTTTTATGTTCTAGGGATATCTTCGAGGTCTGTTTCTTCCTTATCTCTGTACAAAATACTGCATGTTCACGCAAACATATAATTTAATACTGTGTAATGAGTGCCCATTATGGTGGACTTTGGTTTATAGTGTATGGCAATGCCCTCAAGATTGTCGTAGAAGAGCTAACACAAATACCCAGGGAGCTGACAGTCAGCTCCATTAAATGAAGGAGTGGGTAGCAAGGTAACGTGAGGAGTTCAGCTTTGACAAGTTGAAGTTGAGACATGAACGAGCTAGCCACATGGCACTGACCACCAGACAGCTGTGTCTTGGGCTTGTGGCTCATCAGCCAAGGCCAGGCCAGAAATTTAGATTTGGGAGTCAGCAACACAGAAGCAGCAGCTGACTCGAGCAGAGAGAATGAGGTCACTGAAGGGGAAGGCGAAGGAGGTATGCTGTCTTTCAGTGTGTGGGGACTTTGAATTTTTCCAGTACCGAGGTTGGGTTTACACTGAACCATCCCCACTCTATTAAGGCCTTCTTGTGACCAACAAACACATCTGTGGTAAGAAGATAGGCCTGCCTGAGCTCGGTGTTCAGAGGTAATTTTAGGTCATGTCTATACAAGAGCAGCACTAGCAGCCTGGGGCACAAAAAAAAATGACTGCAACTCATCCCTCTAGATCAGTACCGTCCAATAGAAATATAATCCAAGCCACGTACATAACTTTAACTTTTCCATCTGCCACATTTTAAAAAGTAAACAGAAACAGGTAAAATTCATCTTCACATATTCACTTAACTGAGTTTGTCCAAAATATTATCCTTTCAACGTGTAATCAAAAAGTTCTTAAAAATTAATGCTGTCTTACCTTCTTTTCTTTCTACTCGGTGTGTGAAATCTGCTATGTATTGTACAAGTAAAGCACATCTCGAGTTAGAGTAGACACATGTCAGGGTTCAATAGTCACATGTGGCTTGTGTTCAGGACTGTCATTGGACACCACAGCTCTGGAGAGTTCATCTGACAGATAAAATCACCACCACACCTCCCGCATTTAGGTGGTGATGTCGAGAGGGGGTCCGAGTGATGAGTGCATAAGATTCTGCAGTCCTGCTTCTGTTTGATCTGGTACAGTCAAAGCCAAAGAATTCTTCTCTCTACCTTAAGTTATTCAGTACAATTTTCCATCATTAGTATTATAAATTGTGTTTTGATTTACACAGTCACTTTTCAGAATGCCCTAGAGCACACCTTGAACTGACTGCAGACTACAGAGCATTAGTTTTTAGCATTAAGCAAGTTTATCCCTGTTTATACTCATTATGACATCTGTCATTTAGGATTAAGAATCTTTACCACATACATTGTACCATCCATTTCCCAGAAAAGAAAAATTTTAAGTATATTATATATCATTTCTCAGCTAATATTCTTTGTATATAAGAATATTGAAAAACAAAGAATATTGATAAGGGAAATCATTTTTAGATTTTGCTCAAAATGATGAGAACACTGAATCTTACAGAGATATGGTAAAAGAAGATACATTAGGAATGTGAAATTTAACCTGAATGGCCTAGAAATATTAAAGTTAATACTTACAACACATTTTATATCAAGACTTTGACAGAGTGATTGTAACACTGCAGAATATCATTGCTTGGCTTGACTTTATTTCAATATAAATATGTAAAACTCCTTTATAGGCCAGAATAGCATCGTTATAGTGGCTGGAGCCAACTTACTGCTGAATACCGAAGACCTGAGGAAAGCCGCCCATGCCATTAGAAGAGCCAAAGTCATGATCTGCCAGCTAGAAATACCTCCAGCCACTTCTCTGGAGGCCCTAACAATGGCTCACAGCAGTGGAGGTAATTTTACATATTTGTCATTCTTTCTCTAAAAGCTTTTATCACTGTCTTAATTAAAGTTAACCTTTTCAGCAAAGCAACGCTTTTGCTCTAGTAAAATATTTGTTCTCCCATCTGTGAGACCCACTCTCTTCCTCTACTTCTTGATAATGTTAGAAAACCTTACTAATAGGGTTAAAATAACATGAGTAGCATTACTGCTGTCCCATGATATAAATCTCCACTCTAGTTAGCAGAAATAATACAAGTGGTAACTAGAATCTCTCAATCAGCCGGTGGTCCCTGATAAGCTCTAGGTAGTAGAACAATTTCCATTCTGAGAAGCAGAGACTGCACATCATGTTATAATCACTGCCCGGGTACATTGTGATAAACAGCTCTAGGAACTGAAGATTAGCTCTTTCTCCTTTTTGCAACACTTGATCATCTCTTCTACAAACGACAAAAGATTATTTATATGTAATGTTTTCTATGCTGTCAACGTCCTTTAAGCAGCTCTTTCGTTTGTTTTGTTTGACCTTTGATTTTGGAAATTTTCAAACATACAAAAGCAGACAGAATCTAAACAAATGAAACAAACGGACACACAAAACAAAACAAGAACGGATTCATAGAAACCAAGACCAAAGGGATGGTTACCAGAGGGGAAGGGGAATATAGTCAACAATATTGTGATAAGTTTGCATGGTGACTACTAGATGATTACTAGAATTAGTGGGGTGATCACACTGTAAGGTATAAAAATGTCGAATCATGATATTGTACACCTGAAAATAATATAATTAATATAATACTGTATACCAACTATACTTAAATTATTTAAAAAGAAAAACAAGCAAAAGCAGGCAGCATTTTCCAACTTCAACAATTATCAACCCTCGGCTAATTTTGATTCATCTGTTCTCCCACCCACTCCCCCTTTCCCACCCCCAGCAAATAACAGACTTTTAAAAATCCGAATAGTTTCTTTTAGTTTGTTGCTTTTTTCCATTGACCAGTGGGGACAGCATCTTCTGAGTGAGAAGCTCATTTCTGATCGCTGTTAGCTTTGTAGTCTTTGCAGAATTATCTGCTTTTTCTGAGCCTTATCCATTAAATGCATATAGAAATACTTCCCTACAGAAGTGTTCTAACAATGGAACAAAATAAAATAGGATGCCAAGCTGGTATAGAATGTCACAGTAAACCCCAATTTTCTTCCCTCTTTAGATTAAAATTTGGATAATATCCTGATCTCAGCACCATTTGGTCAAAAAATAAAAAATAAATAAAAATAAAAACTAGCCACTCTATGACCATGGCTTCATCTTGATATTACAGTAATAGTTCTGTGATTTATGTTAAGAACACAGAGAAGCACATTGAGTTTTCCAGATGAAACTTTTTCATCAAGATACAAAACTAAGAAAAAGAGCAGTAAGAGTGTGTATGTGTCTGTGTTTGTGTTTGTATAAGTGACTTCTCCCAAAGTGGGCAGTGTTCTACTACTTAGCAATAAATGGAAAATACATTATGGAAATGATTTGTGGAGAATTTTTAAATGTATGTCGTGATGTAACAAATTTTCCTCGTGGCAAAACAACATGCCATGGCAAATTCTCACTGACATTGACTGTATTTTTAATGGACTCGAAGCTGTCAGAAAGCACTCTGAGCCCAAACCCATTGGATACGTTTCTCAGCATGTGACAGATCAAGTCTAACGCTTATGGTAAGCACTGTCTGCACTGCCCCCATCTGACCCGCAGTGTGAACACAACGTACCACTTCATTCATGCTCCTGTCTTTCCTTTGAGAAATCAAAGCATAGTCTCGTGTAACTTCTCTTTTTTTTCCTACTCTCCCTTGCTTCTCAGAGATCACTGTTTCCTCTGTCCTAGTCTAGTTACCTGTTACCTACCCCGCTTGTGGAGGAGAGAAAGGTACAGCAACCACAGTTGAGGAGCCAACCTTTCACAGGTGAGGCTAGAGTGATCCAGATGGACAGGCAGCCTGACCTCGGGCTCTCCTTTGGGTGGGGCCCAAAAATGCTTCCTCATCACCTGCCAGGCAGTTCTTCCAGTTGAGGAGCTGAGGACCAGGGGCACCAGAAAGGGGGTTAGGTAATGGTGGGCTGGAGACCACTTAGCCTACTTCACATTTTTATGAAGAGCCAGCATGCCTAAGTAGTAAGTCTGCATGACCTTCTACACTAATACTAAAAGTATAATAATACCTTGCATCTGTATGTACTTTACAGCTTAGAAAACACTTTCATATATATCTGAGCCCCAGAAGAACCTTATAACAAACATGGCAGACATTATTCTCCCAGATTAAAGGTGAGAAGACTGAGATTTGCAGAGCTTAAGTAATTTGCTCAACCAAGGTCATACTTTTAGTCAGTGTAGAAACCAGGATTTCAGAGTCCAAGACCCAAGTTATAAAGGAACTTCAGCATCCCATTGATTGCTAGTAACCAAGCCTTTATGAAGAGTATCTCCAGGAAAGTAAAACCCATGAATGGTAACACTGTCCAACATGGAGCCTAAGCTTTGAGTGTTTTGCTGCTCAAGTCACAGAGAAGAGACCCTAGAGCAGCGGTTCTCAACCTTCCTAATGCCGCGACCCCTTAATACAGTTCCTCATGTTGTGGTGACCCCCAACCATAAAATTATTTTCGTTGCTACTCTATAACTGTAATTTTGCTACTGTTATGAATCATAATGTAAATACCTTTTTGTTTTCCGATGGTCTTAGGCGACCCCTATGAAAGGGTGGTTCGACCCCCAAAGGGGTCGCGACCCACAGGTTGAGAACCGCTGCCCTAGAGTGTTTTCAGCGGTATGGCTCCCACCTACCCCACTGAATACACACACACATGCTCCTCTAAGCACATTCCCGCGTGATCCTCTGTCCAAAACTCAGCTGGTCCGCATTTGGCAGTTACCAGCCAGACACAGGTTAGATCCTATACCAAAAGGCAGTGAGGGAGGGAGTGTGTGTGTGTGTGTGTGTGTGTGTGTGTGTGTGTGTGTGTGTGTGAATTTAATGCAACTTCATTCTCAGGTGAGAATAGTACAAGGGAAGGAGCACTGGTTTGGGAGTCATGAGGCATGGCTTTGAATTCTGAATCAATCCCTAAGCATATGGGGGTGGGTATCAGGCAAGTGAGTCAGTTCCTTGCTCTGTGCCTCAGTTTCTTCTGTGAAAGAAGAGAATTGGGCTGAGAGCACTCACAGCTCTTTACGGTGACGAGGTGTGAATGGACTGATCACAGAGCAGAGCAGGCAAAGCCTGAAGATCTGCTGCGCACCAAGTGTCCTGCCCATTGCCCCCCCCCCCGAGGCTGCATATATGCTAATCAGCATTATCCTATTTACAAGAAAAATGTTAAAATCATCATCCATCATCATCACCATCTTTGGGTTTATTAATACAGCTCCCTTATCTACTACTTAACTAGTATTGAGTTAAATACACTGTATAACTAGATTATATGTTAGTTGCTAAAATACAGAGGACAAAGACACCTTCATCTTTGTATGTCCTGTCTTGGGACTCTCTTGCTGTCTGTACCAAAATGATTTTAAAGAGACAGCACATGCCACATCAGAAATGACTGCAGCCCTGCAGAGCCCCCTCCACTCCGTCACAGCGCTGTGAGGCCGGCCCACAGGAGAACTGGCGCTGCATCTGCCTGTGATGAGATTATACATGTTGGTTCTGGTCTTTATATCCATTTCAAAGCAAATGGAACATTACAGGAACAATTATAAATAATTGAGATTGTAAAATCGCCAAGCTTAAATTCTAGGTAAGATACAAAATATCTTTGAAAGCCACTTCAGGCCTTTTCCACTTGGCAAACAAAACTTTTTGACCGGCCACCTGGACTTTCACAATAGCCCAAGGTTTTAACGTTTTTGCTGCTCCAGTCACAGAAAAGAACCCCTAGCGTGAGAAACTGCCAGGCCAGTGTTTTGGATACTCCGACCTTCCCAGTTTCTTTGCTCAGTCATTATGCCCCTGTGTCTCTGAACTACTTACTAGGGTGACATTAAAAGCTTCTGCCTCATGTTCCTGTCTTTGCGCCTATACATCTGCCCCCCAGGCCTCAGCAGTTCCTCACTGACATTATTGTGCCAGCCACGGACATGCTGTGAAGACATCCAGGAGTTTAGTCTGCCTTACGTTGCAGTGAATGACAGTCACTGTTGGGTGCTATCAGTCACGGCTCCAACTTACTCCACGACACAGCCTGTGCTGTCTAGTTTTGGTTCCAGAATGACATCATTTATTTCTCATCTTCTCTATTATAAATTTGCATTCTTCTTTGATTAACTACATCTACTGTACTAATTCTTCAGGTTTTTTTCATCTTGGTAAAGTATTTATGCTTATTTATGGTAGCACGAGCCAACGAGAGTCCTTTCTTTATGGCATTCTCACTTTCCCCCTAAATTTAGTTACTAGTCAGATTTTAAGCCTATGTGTCCAGTTAAGAATCCTTTGGTAAGAATCCTTTCCCTTGGTAAAATACAAGCAAATAAGATTTGATTGATTTTTATACAACATTTATGGTCAAGTTAAATTGTAGAATTCCTCATTCCAGCAATTGTTGCTTAAAATCCAATGGAATTGTCTCTTTAAAGTTTGCTTTTACTGTGGAAAATTTCAAATATATATGGCCATCTAGAGGATAGTATGGTAAATCCATATTTACTACCATTTAGCTTCAACAGTTATCAACACGTGACCAATCTTGTTTCATCTACACCCAAACTCATTACTCTCCACCCCGCACTGCAACCTCGGATTAGTTTGAAGCAAAACCCAGACATGATACCATTTCATTCACAGTGTACTTGTTTCTGATGTAAGATAGTATACATGTTTTAAGAATGATGTCTTTGCATGGTGTATATCAGGTAATGAATGGCTGTATTTTTTTCCCACCAGCCCTTTGTAATTAATCACTTATTAGTTTAATGAATAACCTCTCAGACTTTTTTCTCTTCTCTATAAGTGTATAAATAAAAATAGTTATGTTTTGTTTTGTTCAAAAAAAAGAGGGGGTCATACTATAGATTTTATTATAACACTGCCTTCTTCACTTATAAATAAGCCATAGAAATCTTTCTGTGACAAAACAGAGATCTGCTTCCTTCTTTTTAACAGCAGCAGAGTATTCCATTGGACGTATATGTCATACATTTTTTTAACCAGTCCTCTCTGCTTGATGCTTAGGTTTCCTTTTGTTTTTTTCTGTTACAAACAGAGTTGAATGAACATCACTGTACCACATCTTTGCATGCCTGTGTATTTCTGTAGGAGAGGCTTAGAAAAGGAATTGCTGGGTCAGGGATCTTTTGAGATAAAATGGAGCTTTTATAAGACTGGCTCTATCCTGTTGTTCTGTACTGGTAGCTTGCTCTAACCTGTGCTCAAATGCTGCTGTGTGCAGACTGAAGGATCACACAGGTGAGCAATGGTGTCCCAATTTGATGCTTGCAGAAAATAGGGAACAATATATTTGTTCTGAAAACCTAAAAAGAAATGGATGTGTTAGAATGCTGGGCAGTGAAGGCCTTTATGCATAATTGACATCTCTAAGACCTCACAAAAGCGGGAAAACCAATGAGAGAGATTGTTGTCAGGCCACAAACTCCAGCAGAAGGCAAAGATGGGTGGACAGGCGGGACTGTCAGGCTGCGTGTACAGGACAATATCATAACAGTAATAATCCCTTACGTTCATACAACACTTTACAGTTTACACAGGGCTTTTACATCTATTTTCTAAATTAAGCTACACAATAACCCTGTGCAAAAATACGAGCAGCCAAAAATATACCATAGAATTTCCATGGGTGGACATTCTGGATTCTAAAATAATGAAAATGTGGGAATAGCGTTCTCCTGTAAACCACTGGACAAGATCCACTGACCGAACGAAAGTGTTAAGACCAACGGAGGTGCAGACGCAAACTAGCCTTGCCTCCCCAGGGAGAAGCAGTGGAGTTTCCTTTAGCCACGTGCTGATAAGCATCTCCCCAAGGATGTGGAATGGATCAGTGCTGAGACAGCCATGGAAGAGCCACTTGGAGAACTTGTCAATGTGCACACCCCTGACCTTACCCCAGGAGATTCTGATTCAGTGGGTTTGAGGTGGAGCCCAGAATCATGCATTTTATATTAAGCTCGCCTAGCGACACTGACGTGCAGCCAAGTTTGTGAACCACTGTTCTGGAAGAGTCTGAGAACTGCAGCTAGAGGATTTTACTCTGTAGGTCCAGAGTACATTGGGGTTACTAAACACGTAAGTCAGTGGACCTGGGTGGAGGAAAAGGAGACCAAACAATCTAGTTGGGTGCTCTGGTGGATACGGAAGTGTTTTGACAAAGGGGGAGCCTCCTACCAAAGGCTGTTTTAAAATATACTGAATTGGGATTGCAGGCTTGTGTTGCTGTGGACAGAGCCCTGGCCTAGACAAGCAACTACTTTAGAGACAACCAAACCCTGGACTTAAAGCTAGAGGACCCCGGGAAGGGCCTGAGCTTCCCCAGGTCCCAGCATATGACCTTAAACTGTGACCTCATCTCTTGGAGGCTCACTTTCCTCCTCTGAGAGATGCCCTTCTGACACTGTACTGGCCGTGCCGTTCTCGTTTGCCGTTTCTGCTCTCCCCAGCCACCCTCCTCCTGTGGTCGCCTCGTCTGAGCTAGCTCTCCGCCTCTGATTGAGTTTCTCCTCCTTTCTAAGTCTTTCCTTTATGTTCTTAGATGGCTCACAGAAGCCAAGAATGCAAGCTTTTGTGTGTCTGTAGTTCACATGAATAATTCTGATATATTTGGAAGACATACATAGGTGTTCAACATATACATATGTACATGAACGTCCTACTTATGAGTGTTACCAGGAAGATTTTGAGCTAGTCATAATTTCTTTTCTGTCATCTCTTTTTTTTCTTTCCTGAAAATGGATTTGTGAACTAGCCTTGCAACTAAGCATTTAAAGTAACCCACAAAAATGTTCACCAGCCTGAATGTTCACATTCATACATGTCCTTTCATGCCACAACATTTCAAATCTTCTTTAATCCTCTTGTTGCCCTTTGCCATAACTTTGTAATCACCTTGGTTGTAAATATTGATGCTTGCCCTTGAAGCTGAAACGCTGTAAAGTGAAATGTAGAGCAGATGGAAATAAAAAGGTTGTACTAGGTTATCACGGAGATTGAGATTTCAGACTTTTCTACATCTATAACTAAGTTGACTTTTAATCTAATGGGGAAAATGGTGGCACTTGGGGATATCTCTTACTGAATGTCTGTAAATGCACCATATTAAAAATGATAACCACTCAATCCCTCTTCCACTCCTTTGTAGTGAAAACACTGTTCAATCCAGCTCCTGCCACTGCGGACCTGGATCCCCGGTTCTACGCCCTGTCAGATGTGTTCTGCTGCAATGAAAGTGAGGTAAGAATGGAAGGCTTTGCTCATTCCAGGAGAAACCAAAGACTTCCATGCAAGTGGATAGGCAAAGAAGCAAGACTAACCACATCAGTTTAACTGCATGTGAATTCTTGGGCCCAGTAAAAACAGATTTTTCAGTTGACGGGGGCTGTGGAAAAAAAGAAACTAGTGAGTCCTAGGGAAAAAAAAAAAAAAAGATTCCCTGAGTCATTCATCCCCATAATCTGGCACTTATCAAACTTCAGCTAATTTTGGTGGCCTCCCTGCCCTCACACTATTGGTGTTTTGTTTTCCTTTTTAATTATTCCATATTCTCTGGACTAATTAGTATGAGAGTTGCCAGATTTAGCAAGTAAAAATACAGGGTGCCCAGTTAAATTTGCATTTCAGATAAACAATCAGTAATATACTAAATGTACTTATACTATAAAATTATGTGTTGTTTATCTGAAATGCAAATTTAACTGGGTATCCTGTATTTGATCTAGCAACCCTAACAGGTTCTCCCCTGGTGCCATGGGAAAGACCTTGGGGACTGCTCCACTAGGGGAGCACCCTCTTAGTCCATCTGAGGGTCATAATTTACAGCTCTGTGTAAAATATCTATCAATATATTCATATTGTGCCATTCGTTGTGAAGCATTTTAGGAAGCAAATTTCAATATTTCTCCCTTTTGAGCCCAGTTTTAGTCCCAAGCTTTCTCCCAATATTGGGAGGCAAGATATACAATGCAACACACAGAGAGAGAAAGTTAGTAATTAATGAGCTATAACAGTACTTTTCCATTGGGTTTGAAGACTGAATGACGGTTTCTAGGATTTCCTGACCTGCCTTTTGTTAATTTCATCTCTCAGAACATAAAGTAAACAAGAAAGAAGACTGCCACAAGGAAACTAATTTTAACAAACCACAATACATTATGCAATATTTTTGAGCAACCACCATGGCCAGGCTCTGTGCTAGGAAAAAGGAATCGTAGGAGATAGTGACCATTTCACAATAAGAGGTTATACCCTCAACTGCAAAATTGCTTTGATTTCCCTGCTAGATACTTACAGAGCACAGTATTTATTCTTCAAACACTCATCATAGTTCAAGTTCCCTGTTCAGTACTTGTGTCTTCCCCATTAAATTACTAGTCCTGTGAAGACAGGGACATCTGTCTTATTCACCACTGCATCCCCAGTGGCTATCCCTATGTGTATAGTTATCTATTGCTGCATAACAAATTACCCCCAAATCTAGTAGCTTTACAACAACAGTAATTATTTATTATCCTTCATGGATTCTGTGCATCAGGAATTGACACATGGCACATCGTGGATTGTGTCTCCTTCACGACGTCTGCGACCTGGGAGACTCAAAGGCTGAGAGCTGGGATCATCTAGAGCAGCGGTTCTCAACCTTCCTAATGCCATGATCCCTTAATACAGTTCCTCATGTTGTGGTGACCCCCAACCATAAAATTATTTTCGTTGCTACTCTATAACTGTAATTTTGCTACTATTGTGAGTTGTAATGTAAATATCTTTTTGTTTTCTGATGGTCTTAGGCGACCCCTGTGAAAGGGTCGTTCGACTCCCAAAGGGGTCGCAACCCACAGGTTGAGAACCGCTGATCTAGAGCCTCCTTCACTCACACACTTGCTCTCTGTTGTTGGCGGTTGGCCAGAACACCTAGACATGGCCTCTCCTTGTGACCTGGGCTTCCTCACAATATGGAAGCTGGGTTTCAAGATCCAATATCCAGAGAAAGAGAGTGAGAGAGAGAGAGAGAGAGAGAGAGAGAGAGAGAGAGAGAGATACTAGGCAGAAGACATGTTGGCTTTCATGACTTAGCTTTAGAAGTCACACAGCATCATTTCTGGCCCATTCTATTGATTAAGGCAGGAAAGTCCACCCTGCCCCCCCACCCACCTCTCAATAAATGATTGTCACTGTCACAGTATGAAAAGAACATGTATGATATTATATATATATATATATATATATATATATATATATATTAATACAGTTATCTTTGGAAATTACCATCTGTTATACTGTATCTGGCACACAGTTGGCACCTAGTAAATGCTTATTGAATGAATGAACAGATGAACAAACTCTGGTCTTTAATATAATTGACCTGGAAAATGTAATGGAGAAAAGAAAAACTTTAAAAGCTTAACATTCTTATGGATGCCTTTTAATCAGAATAATGTAAATTCATGCTTTAAGATATTCTGTTCCACACACAAACCATTGATATATAAATATAAAAAGAGATAAGGAAAAGATACTCACAAGGTCAAAAACAAAATCATTAACTCCCCAGATCAGAAATGTAACAGAGTCACAGAGCAGTCAGTCCTGGGTCTGCAGTACTCCAGTCCCAGAAGCAGGTAGAAGTGGGAGGAAGTTTGCTTCCTATGGGTAATGGGCACTAAACATGTGCTACTCGTGGGAGCCTGGAGCAGTGTCCACTGCTAGAAACAAGAAATGCTGGGCTCAGGCTCCCCTGCTGACAAAAAAAGATGGAGGAGGCTTCCATTCCTGCTGCCGAGACTATCCCCTGTATGAGGCTCCCAACCTGAGGAGACAGGAGAACAGAGATACTGCCTCTGGCCAAGAAGGACACCAAGCCAACTGCTGGCTTAGTGACTGGATTGGCCACATCACCAGTCACACCACAACTGGAACTCCACATTGCCTGGTTTAGAGGGCCTCAGAGGCCCCATGGATGCAACTAAAACCCTAGAAAATCTGGGATAAGCCTAGTGGGAACTGAAGCATGAGGACTATCAACTCACCAGAAGCAGCGGAAGCCTGCAAATGAAGAAATGCAGTGCCACAAGGGTCTTCCAACAAACTCAATCTAAAGATGACTTTTCACAGAAAGAAATTCAAATAATAAAATGATGCACAGAAGACTTTAAACTAGGTATGATTAAGATTGTCATTCATTTAAAAAGGAGAAGCAATTATAAAAGATAAACAGAATCAAAACAAGGATATGTGAATATGAAAACCAATCAATTAGAAATCTTGAAAATGAAAAATAGCCATTGAAATTATTTTTGGGCACTCATTAGAAAGATGAACATTAGACTGGAATGAAGAATTCGTGAATTGAAAGGAAACCTTGATCAATTCACCTACAAGTGGAAAGCTCAATTCACCTGGAAAATAGCACAGAAAGAAAAATATTAAAGAGGAATTTAGAGAAATAAAAGATAACTTGACAGGCTCCAACATACATCTTACTGGAGTGAAAGAGAAGAGAATGAAGGAGCTGAAGAGAAGCAATACTAGAGGAAAAACTGCAAGGTGTTTCCTAGAACTAAAAAAAGGCATGAGTCCTCAGATCAAAAGTATATTAAAAGTACCACATGAGATAAATACACATAACTCTCTACTAATATACATTTAATGGAACTGCATAAAATCAAGGACAAAGACAAAAAATATCTGAAGCAAATAAAGTAAAATGTTCAGGTTTGTTAAAGGTGGGTGGCAGGTACATGGGTGTTTGTTGCATTACCTTTTATGTTCAGGATTTTTCATTAAAGCATCGTTTTTTAAAGGTTTTTAAAAACCACAAGAAGTCAGTGTTTCTAAAAATAGACCAACTCAACAGACATAAGTGATCCCAGTAATGAAAATCAATGAAAAATTTATAAAAAGTAAAAAGGAAATGGTCTCAAAGCATAACCAACTCAGACTGAAAGGTTCTCTGGAAAAATGATGGGAAGGGATGACTCGTGGTCAAGTTCATGAAACCCGTGCTGCTGGGAAAACTGAAGCCCAGAATGAGCAGACACTGGGATGATTTACAGGTAACAAAAAGGGTTAATCTGGGCATGTTCAGAACAATCACAGGGAGGGATAGACCCACTTTTAGGAAGAGATGGTATAAGGTTAAACTGTAATACAGAAACGACAGAGTTAGGTGATAAACTCTTTGAGTCAAAAAGTATCATATAATTCATCTAGTCTAGTGATTTCTCAACTTCAGAACCATAGCGGTTCCTCAGAGATGCTGGAGGGGTGCCAAGGGGATGAGGAAACAGGGCTGCAGCCCTTCGCCCCTACTCCAGCTAGAGACCTTTTTATATTCTGGGAGAGAACTGCTGATCCTGTGGAAGCCCCTCATTGTACACACCATACGTGACTTGGGAAAAGTCACATAGTGAGTTGTACAGATCTGAAAGTCATGGCATTGCTTTTTCTGCTACATCAGTGCCTCTCCTACTCTGCATCCATCTTCTCTAGCAAAAACCAAACAAACAAACAAAAGAAATGGGTGGTGTCTTTAACTAGTAACATGAGAAAGGTATTAGGGCCCAAGACAGGCATAGAGGAATTACATCCTTACATGTGAAATTTACAGGCATGGTTTATATCAAAATCACCGGCAGTGGCCCCCTCCTTTTTCCTTTCCTACCTCCCCCTCCCACTCTTTCTTTTGTAGGATTCTCTTTGTTCCCCCTAACTCTTATTATGAAAATGATCGTACATACACAGAAGCTGAAAGAGCAATACAGTGAATACTCACGCACTCTCCACCTAAACAGTTGCTAACGTTTTGCTGTATTGCTTCCCCTCTCCCCTGTGTGTATTTTTGGTTTTGTTGAATCATTGGATAGTAAGCTGCAGATAACATAACATCTCACCCCTAAATACTTCAGCGTGTATCTCCTAAGAGGAGCCACAATACCATTATCACACCCAAGAAAATTCCCAATAATTCTATACTGTTGTCTAATATTGAGGCCACATTCAAATTTCCCCAGTTATCCCAAGATGTCTTTTATACCTAGTTTTTGCTGTCTTTATTTTTTTTCCCCCCCTAGGCCAGTATCTGTCAGAGTTCTCCATTGCATTTCATTGATTGTTATGTAAAATAAGGGAGATATTTTCTAGAAAAATCTAATCTGGAAGTGGACCCAGGTTACTTTGCTCAGCTGTTTCCTCTCACTTCTGTGTCTTCCAGACCGAGATTCTAACTGGCCTTGCGGTCAGCAGCCCTGCAGATGCTGGGACGGCTGCACTGGTGCTCCTGGAAAGGGGCTGCCAGGTTGTCATCATCACCTTAGGCGCTGAAGGATGTGTGATGCTGTCAAAGACAGAACCTGTTCCAAAGTACATCCCGACAGAGAAAGTCAAGGCTGTGGATACCACGGTAGGTTTGAAATTTTCAGAATCATTTTTGGCCCTTGAAATCATCATTTAGTTACTAAGATACTGCACTTAAATTTGGGGGTCATGAGGTAAAGGACCTAGGAGGTGATATGGCAGAAGAAAACAACGAGCAGGCAGGAGAGCTGGATCCTAACCCCTCTCTAACCCACTGTAGGGCTTTATACAAATCACTTAACCTCTCTGAGCCCCAGTGTTCTCATCCACAAAATCGGAGTTTCAATAAAATTATATCTGTGCTACCTATATTCATTCATTCACTCATTCAATAAATATTTACTGAATACCTGTTATATGCCAGTCATATATTAGATGCTGGGCTACAGTGACAAACAAGACAAATCTCTGCCCTCGTGCGGCTTAGATTTTAGACAGTAAACAAATCACCAGGCTTTACAAACTTCGTGTGGAATGAAATAGCAAGGAGCACTGGTGAGCAGAACTCACTTTCAGACAATAATAACTTTTACTCCATGCTTACTGTGTCTCTTTCGTATACATCTCATTTAATCTTTACAACAATCATGTGAGGTACGTGCTAGTATTATCCTGATTTTACAGACTTAGAAACTTGCTCAGGGTCACAACGCTTGGAAGGAACAGAGCTGGGGGTTCAAAACTAGGCCTATGGACTCAACAGACGCTCCGTGCGTAAGGCGCTGTGTTAAGGACAAGCAGGTTAAGTGGACAAGTCACGGCAGCTACACAGCAGGGATGAAAAGGAAACAAGTTAGAAAAAAGGCTCAGGGCTCCTCTAAAGCTGGGGAAATAAAAATGATCTGTTTGTGGCCTAGAATTCAGAAGAGCTGACTAGAAAAGTAGCACATGTCAGGGACACGAAACTAAAGTTGAGGAAGAATAAAAATTTTAGGAATTTTATTTATAAGATCGTGCTATATAATTACTTATAAAATATGTTTTGGTTTTTATGCTTAGAAAAGACTTTAAAATGTGGGCCATTTATCAAAAAAGAAGCCTCAGGGGATCTGATGAAGTTTGGGATACAAATATGCTTTGAAAAATAGATAAATGCAAGGCATGCTTTTATAACATGAAATTACATCATGATTGGCTTTCAAAATGTGCTTTATCGGGCATTTGATATATTGTACTTGGTGTTGTTATTCTCTTCATAGCTAATCATTTCCAAAACCATTAGTTTTTTTTTCTGTTTTGTCAAGATGGACAGTAACCTGGATTTGAGAGGTTTCTTATTAGCTCTGAAATTGATCCTGCATTAGACCAAAACTATTCCGCATCCTGAACTAAAGCAGAAGGGTTTATTCTTCTCTTGCTAAAAATGAAATGAAGGGTTCTCATGAAGATGTCAGACCTATATGGGTGCCCAAAAGTGGCTGAGCCTGGCTTTCGGTGTCTGTGTCAGTCACGACCCCTGTTGCTCGTAAGCAGCAGAAGTACAACTCAAACAGGCTTACACAGAGAAAGGTACTTGGTGCACAAAATAGTAAGTTCAAAAGTGCGGCAGAATGCAGATGCTAAACAGCGTCATTGGGACACACTCACTGTCAGCTCTGCTTGCCTTGTTGTGTGGTCCCTGGCAGCTCCCTGCCCACACGGCACCCCACATCATGTCCCCATCCCTGATGTCAAATAAAAATCAAAGAACTCTTATCAGAGGATGGGAAGTCGATACTGGCCAGACTAAAACAACCCATGCCCACCACGGAACTTTCGTGTGGGTATGCACCACTTGGGCATGGGACTAAACGATGAAGAAACTAGCCTGGGCAATGTTCAAGTTTGAATCAGTAGTAATAATCCTCAGAGGGATTTCATGTTGGAGGATTGGATTTCATAGGCTGTGACGGATGACAGCTTTGAGAATCTTAGATACAGCAGTGTGCACCAAGGAAGTCCTCGCTTTCTTTTGTGCCCTTTCATGTGGGTTCTGAGCACTTGCAGTTAATTTTTAAGTTTCAGGAAAGGTGAAACACAGAGACAGTCTAAGGGGGAAAGGCATGATTCAGTAAATATAATCTTAGTACACCACGTGGCTATGAATTTATAGACATAACAATGTAAGGAGCAGCTTACTTACTGCTTGGAGGCAGGAGATGGAGAGTGGGGTCAGGAAGATCAGGGCACTGGATCAGGATCGGCAAGTGTTTTCTATAAAGGGCCAGAGAGTCAAGTTCTAGGCTTCACAGGCCATGTGCACACGTGCTGTGTCACAGCTACTCAGCTCAGCTATGCCCACAACCAGTCAGGTCAGATGAGAGCAGGAGAGTGGAGGGCTCTGGGAGGAATGGCTCCCAAAAACAAACAGAAAAGGAAAAAGAAAGAAGTCGTCGAATATGCCAGGAGATTTTTAGTTTTCTTGCAGAATTTGAGGATAAAGTAATAATGAATATGTAAAAAACTGAGGCAATGAAAAAAAACAAAAAAAATGAGGCAATTTTTTCCTCTAGGTCATCTGGAGTCTAAGGGGAAAAAGTATGATTAAGTAGATATATTCTTAGTACACCACATGGCTATGAATTCATAGTCATAACAATATAAGTGCCAATTATTGATTTAACCAAAAATGGAGATTATAGTCATATTGTGAAGATGGAAGGATAAAGTGAGTGTGTATTTGTGTGCACATGGAGGAAGATAAGAGAACTAAATGCTCATCTTCCATAGTCGGAATTCAAGAGATAATATCTAAAACTGATTTTTAAAAATAGCAATATAAGCATATTACCAGAAATAGAAGATAAATACCAGAAGAAACCGCTAAAAGAATTTAAAGTATTTGCCTCATGGAAATGGTTGTGGAGAGAGATGGGGCATTTACACGTTAAGCCTTGTCTTTTTAAACTGTGTGTATGGATGGCTCTGATTTTTGTTAAATGACCAAACATAATGAGATGCCACTTGACACCCACTAGGATGGCTCTAATCAAAAATAGATAATAACAACTGCTGACTAGTATGTGGAGAAATTGGAACCCTCAAACAACGCTGGTAGGAATGTAAAATGGTGTCGCCACTTTGGAAAGCAGTTGGGAAATGCTTCAAAAAGTTATATTTAGAGTTAGTTACAATATGACCCAGCAATTCTACTTCTAGGTATATACCCAGAGAAATGAAAACGTATGTCCACACGAAAACTTACACAAGAATGTTCACAGCAGCATTATTCATAATAGCCCCAAATTAGAAACAACCCAAATTTTTACCAACAGGTGAATGGATAAACAAATTGTGGTGTATACTATGGGGGTGGAAGAAAGTTTCCTCTGCCTTTCTAGGTTCTTCCAGCTAGTCTAATAATTAAATTGACATGAGAAGGGTAACGAGAGAAAATAACCAAATTTAATTCTATACGTATGTATGGGAACCCCACATACATGAGAGGTTCCAAGACAGAGAGTTAAAATGAGGTACATGTGACATCCTGAGCTAAGAATGAGGTAAGGCGCCTGGGGGCTTCTCAGATGTGCAGTAATTAGAAGTTTTGCCCTGCCCTATAGATAGCTCATAAAATAATAACTCTTATTATGGGTAAGGCCCCAAGTTTAAATTCTTTAAGGGAGAGGTCAAAGTTTCAAGTGAGCCCACAAGGTCTCAACTGCCTTCAGCTCAAAATAATTCCCAAAAGTAGCACATCTTGGGGAGGCCTGTTCTGAACCCCCTTAATACACATGATAGAATATTATTCAGCCAGAAAAAGGAATACTGACTGATACATGCTATGGCGTGGATGGACATCCAAAACATTATACCACATGAAAGAAGCCAGACATAAAAGGCCACATATTATATGCTTCCATTTAATGTGGGCTATCCAGAGTAGGTAAATCTACAGAAACAAAGTAGAGTGACAGTTGCCAATCCCTGCGAAGAGGGGAGAGTGGGAGGGACTGCTGATGGGTACAGGGTTCCTCTTTGGGGTGATGAAAATGTCCTGGAATGGTGATGGTTACACAATCTTGTGGATATACTGAAAACCACTGAAATGTATACTTTGAAAGGGTAAATTTTATGGTTTGTGAATGGTATCTCAATTTAGAAAACAAAAGTCAAAAAACAACAAAAAGATCCATCTAGGTACTTCACTGATGAATGGATACTCTTGTGATAAAGAATCTCCCATTTAATTGCTCTACTGAATCTACTGAAAGGCCTCTCAACGTCCCCCCAGTGGAGCGGAGGTGACACAAGAAACAAGGGTAGTTATTTTCTGGGTGGAGAATATCTCTCAGCTTTTTTATGCTATCTTTGTCCTCTCATTATTAAAATTCTCGCCTGTTCTGCACACAACTGTTCGGCCTCTTCAGAAGTCTAATAAAAAAGAGACAATTCCCATGGTGAGGTGAGGAACTCTGAGGGAGGCATTTTCTTCTGAACAAATGGGCTCCTTTTCTGGCAGGAGGGTATTGCTTGCTCTCAGCTGGTTTATAACCTCGCTTTTCTCCTCCTCCTAATCCCTTACTATGTACACCTTTTAAAAAGTCATGTTCTGAATCCTAAATATGTATAATTTTAATTTGTCGACATACCTCAATCAGGCTGGAAAAAATTCAACACGTAAATCAGGAATGGCACGGACGGTGTGGAAACGTCTTTAGTTGGCACACTGTCTCCCTGAGACAGACAGCCTGCCCTAGCAGGAGCCGTTTCCCATTCTGCGTCAGTGCTTCTGCGTACTGCCATATTCCGTTTTGCCTCAGTGTTAATAGTTGGATGTGTCACTTCTATTTTTGCATCCGTTTTCCCGTTGTACTAGAGTGAGATGGTGGCAATAGCTGCAGATGTCCTCAGCTCAGTTTGGAAGACATGACAGATGTGACTCTTTTCCCATCTCTCTCTGTTGTCTGAATCTCAGCCTCAAAATGACACGGCACTCGTGTCCTCACTGCAGTCCTTCCAACCTGCAGGGTAGGGCCTTTGCGTCCTTGTGCTCACGACTGCACTGAAAAATCAGTTCGTTGTCAGGAGTTACACATGTGTAAGCATGGTAATATCTTCAGATTA